AGCTGTTCTCGCGTGATTAGAACTGAACTGAGATTTGGATTCCAACTGGAGGCTTCAAAGAGCTCAGAAATACACACTCTCTTGCAAAGGCTGCCAGACAAGGGACAACCAATAAAACTAAGAGTCATGGAAGCCATCATCTCTCTCTCTCTCCTTCCGTGCAGCAATAAAGATAGCGATAAGCAAGCACTTTCAACTAGGAGAGAGGGCAACCTCTGTAACACAGACTTTGAAGTAAAATCCTAAAATGTCAGGGTTAAACAATGACCTGAGTTGAAACCTTTAAGAGCCTCGAATTATCTTTCAGTCTTCTGGAAATACAGAAACATGTAAATACTAAAGACAAAAACCATTTGGAAATGCAGTCAATAACAGTTTTTTCCACATTCCTTGTGAGGATACTTTCCTTCCTGCTGGGTTGAAGAATACCTGAATGGGGCCCCCGGGGGTTGGGGGGATAGAGAGGACGGGGGTAGGGGGGAACCGTGACAGCAGCAGGTTCAAGGCTGATGCAAAAGCACCCTTCCTCAGGATGCAGGTCAAAATGCAATCTGATCGCAAAACAGAAACGGACAACTTGATCAACATCTCCGCTGGGGGGGCCTTTGGCACTCGAGAAGCTGCTCTGAAAAATTCTAACTTAGGAGTTGGTGGAAGCTTGGATGGGTGGATAAGAATGTCTCGTTAACCGTGTAATTTTGAAGCGGGGCAGGCTGTCTCTCAGCGCCAGTGCCCGAGGACTGGCATCTTTGTTTTGTTCCCTGCAACAGCCCATTACCTGAGTCATAGCCTAAAGGTATTCATAAAACTCGTTCCAGGCCTTAGACAACTCGTCTGGCCCTCGCCTGGCTTGAATGACGAGGCTGGGCCCCCTGGAGAAGGCTGGCAGCCCCCCCAGGAGCCCCCTCTCTCATCGGACTCTCCTTCTACCCGCCTGGGAGGGCGCGGGGAGCTGCTGGGCGCATCCCCTTGGTGGTCCAGCCCTCCCTGTCTGACCTGCAGCATCCCTAAGCGCGCGCGCGGGGGGCTCCCCCGGAAGGAAGGTACTCGCGGGGGTGGGGGGGTGGGGGGGTCACAGCGGTCTGGGTTGGAATCCCACCCAGGGTGCGCGGAAAAGAAGCGCGAGCCGGGCCAGCGGGCCTGCCAGCAAAAACCATGAGTCATATAATAAATCTGGGGGGCGGGGGGTTCGGACCCGGTTTGTGTGTATGTGTGTGTGCGTGCGTGTGTGTGTGTGAAGGGGTGGGGATGGGCTTAGGCAGGGGTGGGCTCCGGGATGAGGCCTTCTGGCCGGGTGGGCTGCCCGGAAAAGTGCTCGCGAGCCTCCGCCGGGGGGTGGGGGCGGGGGCGGGGGCGCCCAGGGTCCGGTTGGGGGCGGGCCGGGCGGGCCGGGTCGCCGCCCCCGCGCGCGGCCACATCACCAGGCGGCTCCCCCCGCTCCTCCCGGGGCGTTGGCGCGGCTGCGCGTGCGCGGGGCGCGGCGCGGGGGCGGGGCGGGGGGCGGCGGGCCGGGCTCCGGGGCTGTCAGCGACCAGGCGCGCGAGCCGGACGCAGCCGCGGGCCCGGGGCCGCCGGCCCATCGCCCCTGCCATCCCCCGGGCGGCTCGGCCCAGACGCGCTGCCCCGCGCCTCCCTCCCAGCGGCGCTCCGGCCCAGGTGATCCGGGAGGGCGAGCGGCGCCGGGGACCGCGGCGCCCCCAGGTACCGGGGCGGGGCCCAGCCGGGCCGTCCGGGCCGCTCAGGGACCCCCCCACCCCCCCACGGGCAGCGCCCGAGCCCGGCCCCACCTCGGGCCAGGCTAGCCGGCGGGTGTGAGCGTCGGCGCCCGCGTCCCGGGGGCCGGGGGTGGTCCCTGGACCAGCGCCCCGACGCGCACGGGCCAGGTGAGCGCGGGTGGAGGCGCGGCCAGGCGGGCTCGGGCACACCCCCAAACCACAGCTGCGGGGCTGCGCAGGGGCGCGGGGTCCCCGGGGTCCCGGGGCGAGGCGTGAAGCCGGGGAGAGAAAGAAAGAGAAAGAGAGAGAAAGAGAGAGAGAGAGAGAACCCGCACGCTGGGTCTGTCGGTTGCATCCTTCTGTCGTTTGCATCCTTCTAAATCGGTTGCATCCTTCTGTCGGTTGCATCCTCGGGTCGGTTTCCGAGGTCGGCGCCCTGGAGACCGCGTTAGACCCGCGGCTCCTCTCCCCAAGCCAAGACTTGGAGGGTTTTCACCGACAGGCACTCCTGGCGCCCCAGAAATCTAACCCACCCTTTCCCAAGTGCCACTTTCTCTCCGTTCTCGTGAAGTTTTGCCAACTGTCGTTGCTCTCCAGAACGTTTTCTTCACGCCCCCCTCTCCTCCTCCCCCCCACCCCCCCCGCCCCGTGACCACCCTTCCCCCAGTCCCCGGGCGCTCCGTTTGCTCCTGACTCCCCCCCTCCTTCGGCCAACCGGCCACCGGTAACCAAGCAACGCTTGTACATACGGGTTTGCCCACTCCGGGGAATTTCATCCATGCGGGTTTATCCAATCTGACTTTTTTTTTTTTTTTTGTATCTTGTCTTCTTTCGCTTCAGCGTTCTTTTCAAGGTTCATTTATGTTGGCGAGTGTCCAGTGCCCTTTGAAGTGAAAGGAGAATATTTCATTTATCATCAGTGCAACACATAGTATCAGAGTTCAGGTTATCCATTTATCAGTCGACGCGCAGAGGTTTCTACTTCTTTTGCTCTTGTGAATCCAGGCGCTGTGGTCGTTTGCATACAGGGTTTTATGTGGGGCCCATGCTTTCATTACTGGGGAGCTGACCCTCCCCCAAAGTAGCAGTTCCCGCTGTACTCTAGGTGGGTTCCAGTTTCTCCGTCATTCGCTGTTGTCTAAGGTCTAATTTAATTTTTTTTTTTTTTTTTTTGCGGGGAGGGGTGGGGGAGGGACACCAAGTGAGGAACTCAGGGTCTGTCCCTGGCTCTGTGCTCAGGAGTAAGCCTCGGTGGTGCTGGAGAGCTCAGAGGCAGTGCCTGGGTTTGACCAAGGCAGGCCCCGTGTGTTGGCCTTGTAATGTCTGTCAGGCCCAAATCACAGCCATCCCCCTGGATGCAAAATGGTATTGATTTGTGATTCCCTATTGACTGATCAGGACGGCCATCTTTCCATTTACTCCCCCCACTCCTTGTTTATCTTTGGAAATGTATATTGAAATATGTTGCCTGTATGTTAATTGAGCTGTCTTTTTGCTGTTGACTTATATTGTGAGGCGGAAGTGGGAGGTGGAATCTAGGTGTGGAAGCTATTAATATTTTAGAAGAGTGGCCACGGATAGATACAAGCAGAATAATATTTGTACTTGGGCAAGGCTGGCTATGTGCCTTCTAAGTCTTTTAGAAGACCCCTCCATTCTTGGATAACTTTCTGTCCCTTTCCCTTTTCCGGTTTTTTGAGGAAAACCACTAAAGGTGTATTTGTGATCAGAATCAGGACAGCCCTCACAGAACTGGCATTTTCAATATATTCTGTGCTTGGTGTGAAAACTCCCAATTATTATTTTTATTAAAAAATTCTTGATTTTGGTGGCTAGCTACATAAAGTGATCAAAACCACGACAAATACAGCCAACTCAAGTCAAATGTCGTATGTCCCAGGCCAAGCAGAAAGAAGATCTTGTTTTCCTAAGTTTTTGTAGACTCAATTACTGCTACATTCTTTTGTGGGTGGCAAATATTTTTGATGGGATTGAAGTTAAGAACCACTTAGAGCAGACTGAATGCTGCTATACTTATTCATAGTTGATTTCTGAGTGTACAAAAAAATTCAGCATTAGCTTCAGGTCTTTCATGGCAGAAGCTACCAAATATGATATCACGTTTGCCACTCAGGAATGAGGCTTTATTTTTTTGTGAAGCAAGATATATATATATGTATATATATATATATGTATATATATATATATATATATATATATATATATATATATAAAACACTGTAGCACTGTCCTCCCATTCATCTATTTGCCCGAGCAGGTACCAGTAACATCTCCACTGTGAGACTTGTTACTGTTTTTGGCATACCAAATACACCAACGGGGAGTTTGCCAAGCTCTGCAGTATGGGTGGGATACTCTTGGTAGCTTGCCGGGCTCTCCAAGAGGGGCGGGGGAATCGAACCCGGGTCAGACGATTGCAAGGCATTACGATTGCAAGGCAAATGCCCTACCCGCTGTGCTATCACTCCAGTCCATATATATTTTGTTTTTTTTGTTTGTTTTTTGTTTGTTTTTTTGTTTGTTTGTTTGGGTCAACTCTACGATGCACAGGGGTTACTCCTGGTGGCTCTGCACTCAGGAATTACTCCTGGTGGTGCTCAGGGGACCATATGGGATGCTGGGAACTGAACCTGGGTCGGCCATGTGCAAGGCAAATGCCCTCCCTGCTGTGCTATGTCTTCAGCCCAAAGCAAGATATTTTTTATTTAAACTTACTTAGATGCAAATGGCAGGACCAAAGAAATGGTATAGTAAATAGGGCGTTTGCCTGGCACTTAGCCAACCCGGGTTCTATCCCTGATATCCCACATGGTCCATGGAACACCACCCGGAGTGATTCCTGAGTGCAGAGCCAGGAGTAATCTCCAACCACTGCAGGTGTGGCACCAAAACAAAACAAACAAACAAAACCCGAACCAAAACAAAAACAAAGCAAAGGGGGCTGGAGCGATAGCGCAGTGGGTAGGGCTAGGATACGATTCCTAGCATCTCATATGGTTCCCCGAGCACCGCTAGGAGTAATTCCTGAGTGCAAAGCCAGGAGTAACCCCTGAGCATCGCCGGGTATGACCCAAAAAGAAAAAAAAATCAAAAATTAAAACAAAACACCCAAGAAGGATATGGAAAGAAAGAGGAAGTCCGTGTTCAATAGAGGTGGGCGGGCCTCTGGAGTGGAAAAAGCAAGCAGAGACATATAACAAGCACGTGAGGTACAGAGATACCAGTCAAGGGCTTGAAGAGCAAGCCGCCTTTTCTCTTTCTTTTCATGTTCCTCCTTCTCTGTATCAGAACTCGTACAGAGCATTGAGTTTTGGGTTGCAGAAGAGGATTTAGTTTTAGCATCCATCTCCACGTCTTTGTCCCCATGTCAGACAAACAGCCACACAGGGGCTGGTCATTGTTTTCTATTACTGTATCATGACAGATCAAAAGTGTATTAACCAAATTTCAGGTAAGTAATAGAAAACAAAAAGGAAATATTGTCAAAGGGAATAGTGGACAATCAACTAATAAATGTGGAGAGGGCCAGAGAGATAGCTTGAAGGGCTGAGCACATGTGTGGCATGCAGGGGTGTGGGGGGTTGGGGCCAGATTGGATCCCCAGCACCATTTTGTGCCCTGACACTTGCTGGGAGTGACCTGGAGGTCCACTGTGTGTGTGGCTCTCCCTCAAACCAAGCAAAACAAAACAAAATGTGAATTACTGTCGTCTTCTGCTTTTCATCTGATGCCTTTATAAAGCAACAGAAACACGATCAAACCCTCTTAGACTTTGTTGACTTCATTAGTAGAATGAGGAAGATTGTTTTGATATATAGCTTTGGGGTATGTTTTCTTTTGGCTAATGAGATGAATTTTTTTAAATTAATGATTTCCAATTTTCCTCTTATACTTAATAGAAATACTGTGGTTCACAGAGAGTTTCATGATGATGTGTTACAGGCATGCAGTATTCTCACACCAATCCCGCCACCATTACACCTTCCCTCCACTCATGGGGTGGTTTTTGACACGCCAGAACTAGGACCCATCCAACTTCATCCCACTTGCTCCTGACTTACCCCGTGAATGTAGATATGTAGATATGAATTTACTGTAGGTACAAATCCTTCCCCAAAGGATTTAGCTTTCTCTCCCCCCCTTAGTGTCACTTGAAAAAAAAAAATTAGTAGTATAGACTCCAGAATCAAAGTATAAGCAGAGCAGATCCCACAGTGAGAAGCATGGTTTCTTTGTAATTACAGACAATTTGCTAGAATTCAGAGCGAGAGGGTGGCCATATTCCAGAGTGAGCAGCCCATGCAGATTTTGGAATAGGACCAATGGCAGCGGACTGTGACAGGTAGCACCAACCAACATGGGGCAAGTGATTTCTGGGAAACGTTAGCCAGAGCAGGCCTGTCTCATGGGTGGCGGGCAACCCTCACTTTCCTCTCAAGTTACTGAGACAGTTCATATTGATCACCTTGGTATATTTTTAATTTTTTATTTTAATTGCTTTTTGTTTTTTGAGCTACACCTGGCAATGCTCCGTGGTTATTCCTGGCTTTGAACTCAGGAATCACTCCTGGTGGGGCTTGGGGACCATCTGGGATGCTGTGGGGTGGAACCTTGGTTGGCCGCATGCAAAGTAAGTGCCTTCCCCTCTGTACTGTGGCTCCAGCCCCATATTGGTATATTTAAAAAAATCAGTTTTTCTGTGAATGGTGAGTGGCGCAAGTCTACCAGAGCATGCGGTGAGGCTCTCCAGTTGGCAAGCGGAACTTGAGCTTCCTAGTATGAGGCCGGGAAGATGGTTGCTATCCCCTGGATTTTCTGGAAGCCGTGGTACTCAGGAAAAGCGAGTCCTGACCTTCACCTGGATTTTCTTTTTTTCCTTCTTTTTCTATTTTTAGGTTTTGGGCCACACTGAGCTGTGTTCCAAACTTACTCCTGGCTCTGTGTTTAGGAATCACTTCTGGGGGGCTCAGAAAACTATATAGGTCCTGGGGCTCCAAACTATATGGGATGCGGGAGACCCAAGTGGGTACCCAGAAGCAAGCATCCTCCCCATTGTACCATCGCACCAGCCCCTCCACCTGGATTTCCTAGACTGTTTTACCTGTCTTGAAATGAATTCCAGGAGAAGACTAATAGTCCGTTGGAATAGTTTTATTTGGGAGATAAAAGGGAGGAGAGAAAAGAGAATCCCGTAAAGTAAAAGTATGAGACTTGCATGCATCAGCTCCAGAATGGAGAGGAGTAAGGTAAAAGGAAGAGGACTTCTGCACCCCAGGTTGGGATGCTGTAGGCCCCAGAATGGGGTGCACCACGTGGCCGAGGGAAGTTGAATCCAGCCTGTCTTGTGCAAAGAACAGTCCCCTGGGAGACCTTTGCGTTCTGGTGGTCTTCAGTCAGGGTTTTATCAGGGCCGTTCTGAGGGTTTGAGTTGGATCCTCTTAAGGAGAAGCTTCATACTGGTGGCAGGACAGAGTAACATCTTTTCAAATCATCTCTTGATTTTATGGCTTCCTGAAGTTTATTGTCAAAAGTCTTCCTCATTGATTGCTTCGTCTTCTCTCTCTCTCTCTCTCTCTCTCTCTCTCTCTCTCCCCCCCCCCCCCTTCCTCTCTAATCATATATATTTAATTTATCTATTATCTGAGGCCGGAGAGATAGTACAGCAGGTAAGGTGCTTGTCTTGCACGTGACGGACCAGGGTTCGGTTCGCAGCATCCTATATGGTCCCCTGAGCACTGCCAGGAGTAATTCCTGAGTACAGAGTAAATAGATCACCGAGCATCACCTGGTGTCCCTTCCCCGTGCCCCCGCAAAGAAAGTTTAATATATTTATATCTAATTTATGTGTCTACTCTTTCTATCTAATCTCACTGTCTCATCTATCAAGTCTTCCACATCTCTTGTAGAATTCATGGCTAGACTTGTCAGTTACTTATTCAATATTAATGCCAATGAATTTAATCAAATTGTTTCCCATCTGTCTCAACCCCTCAGAGGCAGTGAAGAAGTGAAACTGTTTGGATTTGGTGGCGGGGGAGGTCGGGGAGACACACACCCAGCGGAGTGGGGTCGAGGGCCTCTCCTGACTCAGGGCTTGGAGGTTAGTCCTGGCAGTGCTCAATGCTCAGTGCTCAGGATCGTGCAGTGCTGGGAATGGAGCCCGGGGCGTCTGCATGCACTGCCTGCCCGCCAGCCCCTGGGCTGTTCTCATCTTGGAAGTGGGCTTTTGACTTGAGAAAGGGGGGGAAGTAAGTAGTTTGGGACCATGGGTAATTTTCAATATTCTTTTCTTTTTGGGTCACACCCGGAGACGCACAGGGGTTAATCCTGGCTTTTGTACTCAGGAATTGCTCCTGGCAGTGCTCGGGGGGACCATATGGGATGCTGGGAATCGAACCCACTGTACTATTACTCCAGCCCCATGGGTAATTTTGGAGTTTTTGAAAAACTTTGTTTCTAAAATGCACATATTTGAACGGAGGTCGTGGATAGTGTGAAGGGTCCGGAGGATGCTGAAAAAAAAAAAAGCACAAAGGAGAAACATTTGGAAGGGAAGCTTGGAGGATAGAGAGAGTCTATATTTTTATTTATTTATTGCCTAAGGGAAGCGCTAAGTCTGCAAAAGAGAAGTCACCTTTTCCATCCGGTCCCCACTGTTGCCCCTTCCTGCCCCACTTCCACCTCTCCATCCTTGCTCTTCAGGGACCCAAGAAATTAGGCTGGAATTACTCTTGCCCTACCTGGAGCTTTTTCCGTTTCTTAATTAACCTTACCCTTGTCCCCCAGGTTCAGGCCACATTGAGATCAGATTCAAGAAGTCAAGAGCATATTAAAATACTTTACGAAAATCACAGTTTCATTTTCGTTTCTGGGAAAGCTGTGTTGGAGAATTGAACTCAGACCCCCCGTCCCTGGACTCTGTTCCTTCTTAGTTTCCCTTGCCAACTGAAAAACTGTCACTGTCACTGTCCTCCCGTTGTTCATCGATTTGCTCGAGTGGGCCCAGTAATATTGTAAGACTTGTTGTTACCGTGTTTGGCATATCGAATATACTGAAACTGTCACTGTCACTATCGCTGTCACTGTCCTCCCGTTGTTCATCGATTTGCTCAAGCGTGCCAAGTAACATTGTGAGACTTGTTGTTACTGTGTTTTGGCGTATCGAATACGTCACGGGTAGCTTGCCAGGCTTTGCCAGGCGGGCGAGATACTCTTACCGGGCTCTCAGAGAGGGGTGGAGGAATTGAAGGCGGAGGAATCAAACTCTGGTCAGCCCAGTAGGCTGCATGCAAGGCAAACGTCCTACCTGCTGTGCTATCGCTCCAGCCCAACTGAAACTGTAGCACCCCCCAAACTGTGTGTCTTCCCTGTGCAGGGGCTGCCATGCCCCGGCTGGGATTTGACCTGGACTTGGAAAGTTTTCAGCGTCCAGTCCAAGAGCCAGTAAGAACACAGGGGTGTGGTCTGTGTGGAACGTGGACCTTTATCCCTTCCACAGCCTTAAGATAAGACACTTTCCCCTGGAAGGAAGAAGGACGGAGGGGCGGTGGGGAGGAAGGCTGGAATTCCATTTCTGGCACAACACCCCAGGGCAGGTGGCCCCGAGTCGCATGGTGCTGGCTGTTGCTCTTGGGTCCCCAGAGCGTTGCTTGGGAGACAGCCCCCTGCCCAAGTAAAAGGAAAATGTGTCCTTTCAATTCGGTTTCTCCTTGGTGGAGGAGTAAAAGTCCTGCGGGAATCATAGCTGAAAATAAGCAGCCGTCAGCTAAGTGTGCTGTTGGGCTCTCCAGTGAAGTCTGGGACTGCAACGCCTGTTATAAAACTGTGTCTCCAGATAGTGACATCAGAACCTTTTTTTTTTTTTAATTGAATCACCGTAATATATAGTTTCAAGCTTTCATGTTTGAGTTATAATCACACAATGATCAAACACCCATTCCTCCACCAGTGCACATTCCCCACCACCAATATCTCTGGTATATCCTCCCTTTCCCACCCTCCCCCTGCCTCCATGGCAGACAATATTCCCCATACTCTCTTTACTACTTGGGCATTATGGTTTGCAATGCAGATACTGAGAGGTTATCATGTTTTTTTATCATGTTTTTATCTATTTTCGGCACACATCTCCCTTCCCGACCAGTTCCTCCAGCCATCATTTGCTTAGTGATCCCTTCTCTGTTCAAGCTGCCTTCTCCCCTCTGCTCATGAGGCAGGCTTCCAGCTATGGAGCAATCTATCTGTCCCGTATATCTACTATCCTTAGGTGTCAGCCTCATGTCATGTTGTTTTATACTTCACAAATGAGTGCAGTCCTTCTTTGTCTGTCTCTCTCTTTCTGACTCATTTCACTTAGCATGATACTCTCCATGTCTGTCCACTTATAAGCAAA